CCTTGCACTCACCCCGCATATCCAATCTGTTCTCAAATCTTGTAATTTTATAATATCAGTCATATATGTCCCCTTCTCTCCAGCCAAACAGTCTAGTTCAGATCCTCATCACCTTTGACCTGGGTTATCACAATTGGCTCTTAACCTGTCTCATCTCTCCCCATTCCAATTACTCCTCCACACAGAGGCCAAAGTGACCTTTTTTTTTTTTAAATTTTTTTTTCTTTTTAGGCAATTGAGGTTAAGTGACTTGCCCAGGGTCACACAGCTAGTAAGTGTCAAGAGTTTGGTCTGAGGCTGGATTTGAACTCCGGTCCTCCTGACTTCAGGGCCAGTGCTCTATCCACTGCACCACTTAGCTGCCCCAAAAGTGACCTTTCTAAAATGTAGGTGTCACCCTTCTCATCCTCCCACCCCCAGACCCACTCAGTAAACTCCAGTGACCACCAATTACCCCCAGGATCAAATATAAAGTGTTTGGATCTAAGCGTCCTTCACACCTCGGCCCCTTCCTGCCTTCCCAGTCTTCCTGACTTGGATTCCCCTCCGTGCACTTGGTGGTCCAGCTTCTCTGGGCTCTCTGCTGTTCCTCACACCTGACCCTCCATCTCAGTGTCACACCTTGGCACTGGCTGACCTGATGCCTGAGATGCTGCCCCTTCTCAGCTCTACTCTGGGCTTCCTAAGACTCAGCTCCAGCAGCACCTTCTCTAGGAGGTCTTGCGCAGCCCTCTGTCCCCACCCCAGCTGCTCGTGCCCTCCTCTGACACTGCCTTCCATCTACACTGCATGTCTTGTATGTTCCTAGGCATTTACATGTAATCGGCCCGGTTAGAATAGGAGCTCCCTGAGGTCAGGAGCCCCTCTTTTGTCTTCCAGCACAGGGTGAGTGCTTAATCAATGCTTATTGACTGGCCGACTTCACTCATCCAAGCCTCGGTTTCCTCACCTCAGAACTGAGTAGGTTGGGCCGGATGTCCTCTGGGGCTCTTCTCGCTCTAGATGTGTTCTAGTTCTACGTCTACCCGAAGATCCTAATTTGAAGGAAGAAATGCTGTGTTAGTGGCCGAGCCAGAGCTGGAGCCAGGGGCATGCATAGCAGAAGGAAGCCAGGCTTTGGAGTCGGGGAACTAGGGATGGGGTCTTTGCTCCGTGACCTTCTATAAATCACAGCCTCTCTGGGTCTGGGTCTTCTTCTGCAAAATGAAGCAGGGTCTCTGTGATGGTGGAAGGTACTACGGGCCAGGTGGGAAGGCACAAACACAGGTGCTGGGGAGAGTGGAAGACATTCTATGGAAGGCCTGTGGATCCTCTGGGCAGATAAAGCCAGGGAAAGCTCACCAGCTAGAGGAGAATTGTCTTGGAGGGTAGAGAGGGAAGGCCATTATGTTTGTATGAACAGATTCAACTGCTTAGCTTTTCTGGGGGTGAGGGGGAATGGTGTAGGTGGGTCCTGCAGCCCTCAGAAAGCCGAGGGAATGGGACTCCCAGAATGTCAGAGGCGAGGAGGACCCTGGAGGTCCCATAAGCCAACTCCTGCCTGAGCACAAACCTCCAGAGGCAGCACCTCCCGCTCTTGGACAGCTCCAAGGCCTAGGACAGTCTTCAAGCCAAAGGCTGCCTTTCTGTGACTCCATATATGCCGCAGCCTCCTGGTCTTAGCCTCTGCAGCCAAACAGAACAACCCTTTGGGTTCTTAAAGATGGCTATTAGGTCTCCCCTGAATATTCTCTAAGATAGTCATCCCTGGTTCTGTCAACTGGTCCTCATGAGATGTGAACTTGAGGCCCTTTACTAGGCTAGTAGTCATCCCTTGAATGTCAATGTCCTTCCTAAACTGTAGTGCCCAGGACTGAACCCAGTCCTCTGGCTGTGGCCTGACCAGAGGAGAGAACAGTGGATCTATCACCTCCTTATCCCTGGACACCAGGCCTGCCTCTCTTGATTAAGTCGTCCAAGATCACACTAAGTTTTTTGGCTTTGATTCATCCTGAGCTTGTGGTGCGCTTGAGTCCCCAGATCTTTTTCAGACAAAGCACTGTCTTTGTTTCCTCCTCCCCACTGCCGTGTTATCCTGTAAAGTGATATTTTGAACTCATGTGTAAGGCCTTCCATTCATCTCTTCTTCTTCATCATTCATCATCATCTTCAGCCCAGTGTTGCATGTTGTGCCTGATTTTGTGTGACCTGCATGCCCTTAGGGTTAGCGGATGTCCCTAGGAATCTGAACAGGAGAGATGACTAGGCCCAGGGCAGTAGTAGCAAGGCCTGCAAGGGAAGTAGGGGAGCTGTCCCTTGTGGATTCAGCCCATCTAGCCAGTTCCCAGAGATGTGGATGCAAAGCTTTAGGATGCAGCTGAAAGAGTGCTAGACTTGGAGATGAGGGCCAGAGTTCAGACCTTGGTTCTGCTCCATACCATATGGGACTGTGGGCAAGTCTCTTGCCCTCCCTGGCCTCAGTTTCCCTACTTGAATAATAATAATAATGATAACAATAGCTAGAATATCTATAGCACTTTCAGGTTGGCAAAACACTTTGCTTATGTTATCTCATGGGATCTAGTGGGCATTATTATCCCCATTTTACAGATGAGGAAATGGGGTTGTTTTGTGGGCACCAGATGAGATAGTATCTACAAAGCAGCTCCCTGACTTCAAGCTGCTCTCTAAACGTGAGCTATTATTAGACCCGACAAGCGCTCCTAAACCCCACCCCCCAATTTGGACCAGTTCTACTTGTCAGGAAGCTTTTCCTTCTACTGAGTAAAATCTGTCTGGCTCTGCCCTCTGGGTCCGTGTCATATGACTTGCCCCCTCCTTTTCCTGGTCACCTGGATCCTTAAGGATATATTCTATGCTTCTCCCTGCACCCCCACTCCATCATCATGGGTCACAAGCACACCACACACTGCCTCTCCACTGCACTGGGGGGCTGAACAAAATTTTGTTTTGAAGCACCTGCTGTGGAATTCTCTGGAGACTGCATTGTCCCCATGCTTGTCAGCCACACATCTGGTGAGATAAGACAGAAGGACCTCTTCCAGGACCAGGGGCAGATTCCAGGTGACCAGTGGGGAGACAGGGAAGGTCACAGTCGGAGAAGGGGAATCAGGTGGGGCAGCCTAGGAAATGCCCATAATGTCATAGGATTTAGGGCTGAAGAGACTTGGATATCTAATGCAACTCAATCATTTTTACATATTAGGAAACTGAGGCTTGGGAGGGGCACAGCCGAAGCTGTCCAGCTAGTGGGAGCACTGTGACTTAGATCCAGGCTGCTTTCTACGACCACCACACATATTGGGGCTGAACATTATGGAAGGGCTCAGGTCCTGGAGCGTGGACACTAAGGAGTGACTCTTTTGGCCGTGAAGGCAGGTAGAAGGTGATGATATCCATATGCCTTCGGGGATCTGGCTTGGCTTAGGATGCCAGGCCTGGCTGGTCTGAGGTCAAGCACCCATTAGGAGACAATAGCCAACATGATATCTCTTTGCCCACTGAGCCCACACCAAAGCAGATTTCTTAATTTGTTTGTTGGTCTTCATCTGAAAATAACAGTTTGCTGGTAAACAGGAAGGGTAATGATGCCAGCCACCCTCGTTAGTGGCTAATAATTGCTTAATTTGTCCAGTAATTGACCTGGGCTCCCAGCGTGGCCTGATATCATGTTGCAGGGTGCTCAGCAAGCCAGGTCCCGTTAATGTTACCTTCGAGAGGGCTTCTGGAAGCTGAGCTCCTCCGTGCCCGAAATTTCCTCTTCACAGATGAGCAGATTAATTGGCCTGCCAATTAGGCAGCTATTAAAAGCAGGGAGGGAGGATGAAAGAAGGAAGGCAGCTGCCCAACCAGCCAGGGGGAAGGTCTGGATCTGCTGCCCAACCTGCAGCCGGACAGCTGGACAGAGAGATGCTATTGACCTCAGCCAAACCCCAGGGAAGTGGAGAAAAGGAAAGCACTGGTAGAATCCCAGAATCCCAGACCTGGGAGGGTTCTTAGAGATATCTAGTCCGATGCATACCTGAAGTAAAAAACTCTTATTCTTCCTCCACATGACAGCCTGTAAAACATTTGAAGACACTTTGTCTATCCTGTCTGCTTCTGCCACCCCCCTTCCAGTCTTCTCTTCTGGAGGCTCAACGTGCCCAGTTCTTTCAGCTGGTTCTTACAGGATGTGGATCCCAGGCCCTCCCTATTCTGGCTGCCCTCCTCTGGACCCTCTTCATTTTGTCAGGGCTCTTCCTAAGTGATAGCACCCAGAGTAGAATGCAGTGTCCCAGATGTAGCCTGACCAGGACCAAGGACAGCGGGATTTACATCCTTATGGACCAAGTCTCTCTTAAGGCAATCCAGTGCTTCATGGGCTTTTCAGCTGCCCTGTAACCCTGCTGACCCTTCTCTGACTTGCCTCAGTAGCAGTTCACTTAAAACTTTTCCCCAGGGAAGGGGTCCCAGTGCTTTATGGGACCATCAACACAGACCATAGATTGGCCAAGCTGTAATTCACTCTACAGGCTGGCCATCCCAACTTGCATCTTATAGGGGAAACTGAGATACTCATGTTCAGAAGGTGACAGAGTCACCTTTATCTTAGCCTGATAAAATAAAGAAATCAGCCCCTTTTGGTGAAAGCCCTAAGTGAGAGCATCAGCATCCGACTTCTGTAGAAAGAGTAGCGGGCCCCCCATCCATTCCAGGGACACCAGAAGGCCTCTTGTGTCCACCGCCCTGCCGAATCCCTCTCCCAGCTGCTGGCTGATGTCACCAAATCTGGCCTGGCTAAGTGACGCTGGGAAATCCACTTAACCTCTGTCTGCCTCAGTTTTGTCGACTATGAAAAGGAGATAATACCTCCCAAGGTTGTTGTGATGTTCTGTTTTGTACCAGAATAGAATTGTCCTAGAATTGGTGACCTGTCTGCTACTGAGTCAGTGGGGATGGCCACAGTATTGGCCAGGTGGGGAGCACTTTTAACGCTGCCTCTTCCCTCCTCTTCCCAGGGATCATTGACTTCCTTGTGAGCCACCACCCAATTGCCCGAGTCCTGCGGGACCACCTGGTCTTTAAGATTGCACCAATGTTGAACCCTGATGGAGTCTACTTGGGAAATTACAGGTAAGGGATACTGGAAAGCTCATGGATGGGAGCTTTGGGGAAGCAGGAAGAGGGCATAGAAGCATCCTAAAGCACAGACTTTGGGCTGGCCATTACCCCAGGGGATGGTCAGCACCAGCTTTGGGGAGATTAGTTCTAGGGTCCCATAAACCAAGTATTCATCACCCCCCTCAAATTACAGATGAGGAAACTGAGGCTCAGATAAAGGAAATGTCCTTCCTGGCCAGGGTCACAGAGCAGCTTGTGGCCAGGCTGGGACTACAGCCCCCCCCCCATGTTTAGCTACTTTAAGCCTCAGGTCAGAGAAGTTCACAGATAATCCTCATAGTGGGGAGAGGCTATTGGGTGCCATGGACTGGCTCTAGATTGGATTCCCAGCTTTGCTTCTCCTGAGCCACATGACACTGAGTGAGTCACTCACCTTGTCTGGGACTCATTTCTCTCCTCTGTAGAATGAGTGGCCTGGGGTACATGATGTCTCAGGATCCCTTCATGTTTAAATCTATGACCTTAGATCAACAACTGACCTTCCATACCAGAGCTCAGGGTCAGCCCACCTCTCAGGAGACAAGGGCATTACAAACCACAGGTCCTTTGCCCTTTCTGGAGTGGGACGATGCCCCATTTTGGGGGCCATTTTATTTTGGTCTCCTCCCTAAATCTAACTATTCCTTCAAGCCCCATCTTCATCTAATATTCTCTGAGCACTCCTGTGTCTGGCAGGCTGGGTTTGCTTCTGGGAATACAAAGATGTCGGCTTGGACCTTGCCCTCAAGGACGTTAAGGGGTGTCAGCTCCCCTGCACCGTCAGAGGTGTGAGTTGTCCTGGCCACAAGGATCCCTGGTATGTGCCTCATCATATGTTCACTCATCATGTTTGTTCTTTCCATGTGTGCCCCATGGTCCTGACTGCACTCTGCATGTGTGCCCTTCCCTTTGGATGCCATGGTAACCCATGGAAGAGGGTGCTCCATGTGCACATGGTGGAGGGGGTAGAGTTCTTTTCATTTTATTTATTAAGCTGTTTGATTAAAAGAGGCAGTGGGGCATGGCAGAGAGGGAGCTGACCTCAGAGTCATGCCACACACTGGTTGTAGGATTCCCAGCAAGCACCTTATGCTTCCAGTGCTCTGGACATCTCTGTAAAACAAAAATTAGCAGTGAAAGCAGGTAGGGAGAGTTTCCTTATCCAGGAGTTCCCTGGATCAATGAAATCACAGGTCTAATCCCAACCCCAATTTGAGTAAATGTCTTTTGTTTGAACTCACATGGCTTCTGTCCGTCCAGTGAAAGTACGGTCACTGGTGAGGGCTTGTGAGTAGGTATTAACACACAGAGGGCCTCAGGCCTGGAGTTAGTATTCCAGAGCACCGCCACGCAGGAGGTGATGTGCATTTGGTGTTTGTGGCTTTCTACCGTAATACAGAGAGGCCTGGCATCTGGGCTCTGAAGATCAGGGCTCAAATATTGCCTGTGCTCCTTACTACCTGAGCGACCTTTAGAAAGGCACTTACCAGGGCAGCTAAGTGGTGCTGTGAATAGAGCACCTGCCCTGGAGTCAAGGGGACCTGAGCTCAAAAAAAGTTCAGACACTTGACACTCACTAGCTGGGTGACTCTGGGCAAGTCACTTAACCCCACTGCCTAGCAAAATACAACAAAAAAGAAAAAGAAAGGAGCTTGCCCCTCTACCCTTCATAGGGTCGTGAACTGTGGATTTGGGACTAGAATGGAGCTCAGAGGTCATTTACTCCAATCTAGATAGAGAAACTGAGTCCCGGGGAATCAAAGTGTCTTCCTCAGCATATGAAGAGGCAGAGCTGGTATTCAAACCCTAGTTTCCCAACTCCAAATCTGTCATCTTTTCACAACATCTATAAACCTATCCCCTATGCTCCTAGGTAGGGGTGGATCCTAGGAGGCAAGCAGGGCTTGGTTGGGGGATGGATGGACTTCATCAAGCTCCGGCCTTGGAGTCAGGAGGACCTGAGTTCAAATCCGGCCTCAGACACTTGACGCTTACCAGCTGTGTGACCTTGGGCAAGTCACTTAACCCCGATTGCCTTATCCCAAAAAACAAAACAAACCGAAAAACCCAAAAGCATCTGTGAGATGACCTTGGGGAGATGTGTCTGTTGGAAAGGTGAGGCTTGTTAGATGAGTCGTGTGCATAGATGAATGCGATTCCCCAAACGCTGAAGTACCCTAACACTCTAGTGGGTCTGGGACCTCGCTGGTTCAAGGGAGTCCTTCAGCAATGCAGATTGAAGCCCCTCCAGACCTGCCCATATTCTCTCTTGCGTCTGCCACAGGGGAAAGGGAGGCATCACCAAATTTACTTTCCTGTTTGAGGTCTTTTGACAACCCGAGGATTTCACGGAGCCCAGTAGCCACCCAAATATAACCTAAGACTGAATATAGTAAGTGAAAGAGGTTGGCCTCTGATATCTCCCTCCTCCAAATATTAACTCTTGGACCTGAAAGTGACTGTACTTCCTGCCACCACCTTTGACTCAATGAAAGGCAAAAATCAAGTGAACAAACAGCCCGATGAGGAGAGTTGTCAAAAGTGGGATGTACAGCCTGGGCAGGTAGTGAGTCCCCCATCCCTGATGGTTTTCCAGCAAGATGACCCCGTATCAGGGAGGTCTTGGCCAGGTGGGAGCTGGACAAGATGTCTCTGGGATGCCCTCCAACTCCGAAAGCCCAGGTTCCCCTGCGCTTCTTTCCTCTGCCCCTTCTGTTGCCGCCCCCGCTTCCTAGCCAGTTTTCTGGCAGATGAGAAATTCTGCAGCCTTGAGATCTCTTTGGGGGCCTGGCTGCTTTTATGATGACAGAGAGGCAATTACTATGGTAATGCTTCACTGCAGCTTTCCCCCTCCCCAAGCTGGGTCTGGTGGGAGGGGGATGGGGGGGATGGGGAGGGAGAAGAGCTGTTGCAGGGAAGGACTCCGGCCCCATTTCTATGGTAACAAAAGGTAATTGTCGTTAAATTCCAGTTAGGCACTGGCAGCAGGAGGCCCTACCTGGCAATTATCGATTTGTTATGCCCAGAAACATAAATAAGGGCAATAAATGGATTCCGAGGTCCGGGGTTGTTTGCTTATCCCAGGCTCCACGGAGTACACATGACAAACACCTAATTAAGAAGAGAGATCCAGCCAAGTCATTTATCTTGTCATCTCGAGGTAGAGAGCCCCCGTTTGTACAGGGAGGGTGGCTGATGTCAGTTACACGTGCTCCGAATGAAATCTGGGCACGGTACGGCAGAAAAGCTGCTGTGTCGGGACCAGTGCGCAGCTGTGTGACCTTGGACCAGTCACCTCTCTGGGGACTGTCTTTGGCCCTACGCAAAATCATTTCTAGGGCCCCTTCTAGTTCTGATGATCCTTGTTCTAAGGTCTTAGAATTACAGTCATAGGACTTGAATCCAAAACCCTGCTCCACTGTTTACTAGCTGTGTGACTCTGGCCAAGTCACTTAACCTAGATGGGCCTCAGTTTCCCCATTTGAATAAGGACTCTCATCCAGGCAATCTCTATGGTCTACCCAGCAGAGTTCTATGTTCTAGTCTCTCCAAGTCCTGACATCCCATACTCTCTTCTAAGCTCCCTCCCAGTTTGAACTTGATATCTCGTATCCTTAGGTCTCCTCCGGTTCTGACTGTTCTGTGTTTTAAGTGCCATTCTGGATCTCTGACATTCCTCCATCCTGTGTTCTAAAGACATTTCCAGTTCTTGAGTCTGTCCTTGACCCTGAAGGGCAGAATGAGGAAGAGTGGGATGTGAGTTACAGAGAAGCCGATGTTGGTACCATATAGATTGGGCATCGTTAGCTTGTGACTTCCCAGAGGACAGGGATGGTTCTGTCTTTCTGTGTCCCCAGCACGTAGTGGTTGGTACACCATAGGTGCTTAATAAATGCTGGTTGCCTTGGTGATTTGACATATAAAGAGCAACTGGATAACAATGAGGGCTGTCTGACAGTGGAAGGAGGCACCTTGAGAGGTAATGATCTCCCCGTCATGAGAGGTCTTCACAAAAAGCCTGGACAGCTCTTTGGGATGCTGGCATTCAGTGCTCCAAGGAGGACAGTTGGAAATAGGGGCTGTGACTTCATGTAAATCTGACTGGCGTGGCTCCCCACGGGATGCCTGAGAACCAGAACCGCATTCTGGGCAGAGAGACTTTTATCCCTTCTGTGGGTCCTTTGACGGCATTCAGTATCTTTGCAAGGAAACTCCAGAATGGGTCACGAATAGTCAGGCGTGACTTAAACAACTGAACAGCACACGCTCTATTGGGCAGCTAGGTGGCGCCATAGTGCATAGAGTGCTGGGCCCGGAGTCAGGAAGACTGATCTTACCGAGTTCAAATCCAGCCTCAGACACTAGCCATGTGACCCTGGGCAAGTCACTTCACCCCGTTTGCCTCAGTTTTCTCGTCTGTAGAAGGAGCTGGAGAAGGAAATGCCATGGCTAAGATCTGTAAGAACCATGACAGAGGGAGGGAGGTGGGGAGACCAGCTCTGCCCTTTCTGCTTCCAGCATGCATTGGAGAGGGAGTTAGTGCTGTGGAAAGCAACAAAGAATGCCATATTTGCAGAGCTGGGTATTTGAAAGTCAGTCTATCAATAAGCATTTATTAAGCACCTGCTGTGAACCAGGCACTCTGCTAAGTGTTGAGGATACAAAAAAGGGCAAAAACATGACCCCTTCCACCAAGGAACTCCTAGTCTAATGGGATGTAGACCTGACCCTGGCCAGGACTTGGGAAAGCTGGGAAAGTGCAGGGGTTCAGGGCCAGCTGTAGGCTGCGGCTGTGCCTCTACTCACTCAATTCCCTCCCTGGAGACAAACAAAGTAGAAAAAAACTGAGTCAGTGAGAAAGGTGACCAGGCTTCTAGGGTTGGCTCTGCCCCTAAATCCTATTAGGAAGTGGGGCTCTGCCCCAGGTACTGCATCTCTCCAGGTCTCGGTTTCCTTTTCTGTAAAATAGGGCATTTGGGCTAGATGGCCTCTGAGGTCCTGTGACAGGAGCAATCTCCATATTTGGAGATCTTTTCAAAGAAAACCAAACCTCCCCCTGGTTTGGTGTGTTGGCCCCGGCTTGGACTAGAGAGTGTTTGGAAGCCATTTCTAGGCCCTTTCCCGACATCCCAGCACTCACATTCAATCCTCCCAGCCCCACGTCATTAGGAGATGATTGCCTCAATATGGGGAGAGACTGCATGGAGCCGGCCACACTGGCTTGCCCAGTTTCCATTTGTGACAAATGGGAGCAGTTCGTGCGATGACTCAGTCTGTGATGAGGATTGGGCTCAGCCTGGGGTCACCGTCCAGTGGAAAAACCGACAAAGGGAGATTTTATTCTCAATCTGACTCTCACAGATGAAAAGAAACTGATCAAGTGGATGGGAAAGATAAGGATCTGGGACTAAGTGACCCTTCCCTCCTAGAGACAGAGGTGGAGGAAAAGAAATCCAGGTGTGGTCTGACAATGCCCCTTGGTTTGGGGAAAGCAGGCTTCAGAGAGGGATAAGGAAGATGCCCTGGACTTCTAAACCCCTTCTTGATTATCAGTCCATGGTCTTAGTATTCTTCCAGGTCTCACAGTCTGCATTTATTAATCCTCTGACAGGTGAAAAAAACGATGCATAGATGGGAGGTGACTGGCCCAAGGTCACCCAGCACGCTAGCAAGAGAGACAAGATTAGAAGCTGGTTCCTAGCCTCCCACTCAATCTGCACCTTGTGCCATGAGCTAGCCCCTGGCCTCTTCTTCTCCTCGGGATGAGTCGTCTCTGGTTCTCAGTGTGTCCTCTATAACCAGAGCCAGGTTTCTCTCAGGGCTGGAAGTCTAATCAAGAAACTAACCCACGAGAGCTCTCGGCCAAAACCAATTATTTAAATCACTTTCATGTTGCGGCTCCCAGAAAAGAGCCCAGATGGCCAGCCAGCGTGTGGAGGCGGCTTCTGCCCCCGTGGTGGAAGTGTACCACATCTTCAAGGCAGAGCGGCTGAGTCTGTTGGAGAACTGGAGGCTCTTGAGTGGGGGCAGCCAGGGACTGTGAGCTCAGAGCAGAGAATTCGGAGCCGGGTTAGACCCTGCCCCAGCTCCTCGTGTTGCCTGGATCCCTCCCTTCCCCAGACTGGGCTCCGGCTCATCTTTGGTCATGCCCAGAGCTGGGGAGGTGTGGGGGCTCAGGCTTGATGGATGTAGGTGTCAGGCTGTGCTGCAGTGGAAAGACTGGCAGACAGGAGAGCTGGCTTCTAGTTCTAGTCCCACACTAGATTCTTAGCCTTGGCTAAATAGAATACTTTGTTTGTAAAATAATAAAGTTAGATTAGTTATCTATAAGTATCCCTCCCAGCTCTGATATTCCATGTTCTAAGGCCCCTCCCAGCCCTGACATTTCTCTGTTCTAGAGTCCAAGACCCTCCCAGTTCTGCCATTCTGTATTCTAAGGCACATCCCTGCTTTGACCTCTCTTGTAAGGCTCCTCTGGCTCTGACATTCCCAGTTCTAAGGTTCCTCCCAGCTCTGACATTTCTCTGTTCTAGATTCTAAGGCCCTCCCTCCACTTCTTGTTCCACTCTGACATTCCATATTCTAAGGCCCTCTCAGCTCTGACATTCTAGATGAGGAAACTGAGGCAAACAGGGTTAAGTGACTTGTCCAGGGTCACCCAACTAGTAAGTGTCTGAGGCTGGATTTGAACTCAGGAAGATGAATATTCGTGACTCCAGGTCTGATGATCTATCCGCTGTGCCACATAGCTGCCCCCAACACCCTACCCTTACAATTAGAAATTGGGGATCACAGAAACCAGGCCACTCCTCCAAAGGCGGCTCAGCAGAGAGAAAGCTAATCCCCACATCCTGCCAGAATGCTGTGCTACTCCGCAGTGGTCCTTGTGTCATACCAATCTGGGTGCATGCTGGGCTTCCCTGGTAGACGAGTGTCTCCTCCTTGAGGACAGGTGCTGACTCAGAGTAGCTTTTATCTCTGTAGCCCTAATGCTGAGCGTAATGACTACTTGAATTGGAGCCAGCTGAGTTGAACTAAATTGAATTGAAAATCTAGGCTTCCTGACTCTTATTCTAGTGTTATTTCTGTTCAGAAAGGAAGCATGATGTCATGGAGAGAGCCCAGAACTTGGGGTCAGAAGACCTAGGTCCTACCCCAGCTTCCACCACTTATTAGTGACGTTGGACAAGTCCTTTCTGTCTCTGTTTCCCCTTGTCTTCCTCCCAGGGTTGCCACGAGACTCCAGGGTAAAGCTCTGGCTGCCCCTCCTGTGCTGCCACTCTGTGCCCCACTGCCCTTCTTCTCCCAGGCCCTGCCTGACTGCGTCTCTTGGCTCTTTCCCAGGTGCTCCCTCATGGGGTTTGATCTGAATCGCCACTGGCTGGACCCCTCCCCATGGGCCCACCCGACTCTGTATGGGGTGAAGCAGCTCATTATCCAGATGCACAACGACCCGGTGAGTGATAACGGAACAGAGCTGTGTTCCCTCTGCCTCGGGACAGGGCAGGGGTGGGGGTGGGGATGGCGGGGGGTGGCCCTTGGGACAAAACCACAGCCAGGAGTTCTGGCCAGCACTGAGGCAGATTCAGCTGAAGGGGGAGGGGATGTCAGTGAGAGACCTCAGATCTCATGGCCTCTCAGGCAGAGGGCCTGAGATGCTGGGGAGGGACCAAGGTGGGGTCAGACCTGGGAGAGCTCACCTGGGCATCAGCCACCCCAGAGAGGAAGCGCCTAGCTCAGCTATGTCTACATAGCTCCTTGAGACCATGAGTCCAAGACCCCGATGGCCAGCTCTGTTTTGGGACGTGCCACCATCTAGAGAAGGTACCTAGAGAAACGTGGACTTGTTGACTCTGTCCCTGAAGAACTCCACACAGCTGGCATAGCTTTTCCTACCCATGTGGTGGCTCCTTCAGCGGGAGCGTCTGGGACCAGGGCAACACAACCAAGACGCTATTTGTGCCTGGTCCTGCCAGTTTGATCCAAGGCCAGGGGCCTAAGGAGAGGAAGGAGAGCAGAGAAGAGCGGAGGGCTTCAAAGAACATGGATCTGCAGGTCCAGTTCAGGCACACCCTCCAGGGATGCTAGCTGAGGCCACAGGGGCTGCTTCTTAACACTTGCATTCTCTTGGTATTTGGGTGGTGCCCATCCCCTTAACCTGTAAATTCAGCCTCTCAAGGACTAAGCCATTTACTTTAGAGCAACCCACACCCCACAAGGGAAAGCTTCTGTGCCTGGGGCTGGCAGAGCTTGGACCCAGCTTAATAAAACAGGTGAAACCGATTCAAGCTTATCTTAAAACCAAGGGTTGGATTTAAACAGTGAGGTGAGGGGGAGTATGGGAGAGGGAGCTATGAATGAGAGCGCCTGGACTCGGTCACCTGGCCTAGAGTCCAGCTGTGATGCCCACTCATCGTGTGACCATTGTTCCAGGAACTGAGACTGTAGATGAGTCTGAGAATGCAGTGATTCATCCTGGGCATCGACGTGATGCAGAGGATAGAGCAATGGGGTCAAGAAGTCCTGAGTTCAAATCTGGCCTCAGACATTTACAAGTTGTGTGACCCTGGGCAAGTCACTTTACCCTGTTTGCCTCAGTTTCCTCATCTGTAAAAGGAGCTGGAGAAGGAAATGGCAAACCAGTCCAGTATCTCTGCCACAAAAACCCCAAATGGGGTCACGAAGAATCAGATGTGACTGGACAGCAGCAAAGTGATTCATCCAGTCAGGCAACAAGCATTGATTAAGCACCTACTGTGTGCCAGGCCCTTGGTCAAGGGCTAGGGATATAAAGAAAGGCAGACATAGTCCCAGCCCTCCAGGAGTGCAGTCTAAAGGGAGAGATAATGTGCCAGCAATACATACCAGACGCCTAGAGGGGGAATGGGAGGAAGCCTTCTTATCAGAGCATGAGTTGAGTAAAGAATGGCCAAAGCATTCTCTAAATGGACCTGGAAGAGGAAGCCGGGAAGGGAAATGTCTTGTCCAAGGTCATACGAAGTCTTATTGGCAAAAAGTGAACAAGAGCCCCAGCATCTAGAGCCCCAGGCGTTTCTCCCCCTGACTTCCTGCACCCCAGGTAGCCTCAGGCTTTGCTGCAGAGCCCCAGCGACAGACTCTGCTCCCGCCTCCCAGCTCCCCTCATCCCCGGCAACTCCCCTGGGGATCTGCTAGAAGATTAAAGGGCTGGGATGGGTTCCTGCTTACCTTCCCCATGAAGACCAGTGCCCCAGACAGCTGGCCTGTGGCTCCTTTAGGGTCCTTCTCCTGGAGACAAAGTAATCAGCTTCCAGAACCACCTGGTGTTACTTTGAAACGAAGAAGAGGAAGAGGAGAGAGAGACAGACAGACAGACAGACAGAGAAAGAGACAGAGTCAAAGGAAAAGAGACAGAGACAGGGAGAGACAGAGACAAAGGGACAGAAAGGAGAGAGAGATCAACAGAGAGAGAGAGAGAGATAGAGAGAGAGAGAGAGAGAGAGAGAGAGAGAGAGAGAGAGAGAGAGAGAGAGAGAGACAGGGAGACAAAGAAAAAGAGACAGAGATAGGGAGAGACAGAGACAAAGGGACAGAAAGAAGGAGAGAGAGAATAGAGCAAGAGAGACAGGGAGACAGAGAAAGAGACAGAGACAAAGAAAAAGAGACAGAGATAGGGAGAGACAGAGACAAAGGGACAGAAAGAGGGAGAGAGAGAAATCAAAAGAGAGAGAGAGAGAGAGAGAAAGAGAGAGAGAGGTGGCTCTCTACTCTACTCACCTACTGGTGCCATTCTGCATGCCCATACCATCTAGTCCAACATCCTCCTGAGCAGAATCTTCACCACGACATCCCCAACTGTGACTGTTCACCTTCTGCTTGGAGACCTCTAGTAATCAGGAGCTCACTACCTCCCAAGGCATCTCATTCCGTGTTGGGAGAGCGCCCATTGTTTTTTTTTTTTAATTTAATTAATTTATTCTGATTTATCAACAATCACTTCCATAACCTTTTGAGTTTAAAATTTTTCTCCCCTTTCCTCCCCACCACCCTCCCCAAGACAGTGCACAATCGGATATAGGCTATACATATACATTCCTATTAAACATATTTTCACATTAGTGATGTTGTAGGTAAGAATTAGAACCAATAGGAGGAACCACCAGAAAGAGGAAACAAAACTCAACGGAAGGAAAAAAGTAACAACTAGTATGCTTCAATCTTCATTCAGATTCCATAGTTCTTTCTTTAGATGTGGATAGCATTTTCTATCACAAGGCCTTTGGAGATGTCTTAGATCCTTGCATTGCTGGGAAGGGTTAAGTTTATCAATATTAGTCATTGTACACCATGGCTGTTACTGTGTACAACATTCTCCTGGTCCTGCTCACTTCACTCAGCATCAGTCTGTACAAGTTTTTCCAGGTTTTTCTGAAGTCAGCCTGTTCATCATTTCTTATAGCACAACAGTATTCATTGCATTCATATACCACAACTTGCTCAGCCATTCCCCAATTGATGGACATCCTCTTAATTTCCAATTCTTTGCCACCACAAAAAAGAGCTGCTATAAATATTTTTGTACATGTGGGTCCTTTTCCCATTTGTATGATCTCTTCGGGATACAGCCCTAAAAGTGCTATTGCTGGGTCAAAGAGTATGCACATTTTTATAGCCCTTTGGCTATAGTTCCAAATTGCTCTCCAAAATGGTTGGATCATTTCACAACTCCACCAACAATGCATTAGTGTTCCAATTTTCCCACATCTCCAACATTTATTATTTTCCTGTTTTGTCATGTTGGCCAATCTGATAGGTGTGATGTGGTACCTCAGAGTTGTTTTGATTTGCATTTGTCCAATCAATAATGATGTAGAGCATTTTTTGATATGACTATAGATGGCTTTAATTTCTTTATCTGAGAACTGCCTGTTCATATCCTTTGACCATTTATCAATTGAGGAATGACCTGTATTTTTATAAATTTGACTTAATTCTCTATATATTTTAGAAATGAGGCCCTTATCAGAGAGACCGGTTGTAAAAATTATTTCCCAATTTAGGAGAGCACTCATTGTCTGGAAGTCTTTCCTGATCCCCGCCCCTTATTCCTTTGTCTAAGCTCTGGGGCCAAACAGAACAGGGCTAAGTCTCTTCTGTAGAACAGCCTGTGCTCTTGAAGGCAGCTGTTATTTTCTCCTTGAACACCCCTTCCCTTCCTCTGATCCATCACGTCCCCAGACCCTTCCCCATCCTAACTGGCCTCTCCTGATCAGCTCTCCTTTGGGGGAGATGTCACTTAGGAGTGTGGCCTATTTGAGGGAAGTCTTCTATTCCAAACAATAAGGAGTAGCCAAGTCTTTCACAGTTGATCAATGTTACAGTATCGGCTGTTACCATGTACAATGTTCTCCTGGTTCTGCTCACTTTACATCAGTTCATACAAATCTTCCCAGGTTTTTTCTGAAACCATCCCCTTGTTACTTTCTTACAGTACTAGATATCACAACTTGTTCAGCCATTCCCCAAATGATGGGCATCCTCTCTTGAGTTGCATTAAGAGAACACACATTTATCAAATGCCTATACTCTGAGAGTTTTACAAATATTATCTCATTTGATCCTCACAATAATCCTGGGAGGGAGGCGCTATTATTATCTCCATTTTACAGCTGAGGAAACTGAAGCAAATTAAGGTTAAGTGACTTGCCCAGGGTCACTCAGCTAAGTGAACTCAGGTCTACCTAACTTCAAGCCCAGTGTTCTATCCACTGAACTGTCTTACTGTTTCTAAGCAGAGTTACCTGGAATGAGAAGATAATAGTTCCAGGCACAACAGTGATAAAGAAGGAAAGGGAAAGACCTACAAGGCAATAACAGACATAGTTAGGAGAGGGGGACTCAAAATAGGTACCATCAAAGCTTTAATTCCATGAGGAATTAAGAGACTAGGAAATAAATAAATAAGGATCATGAATCAAAGCATAAAAGTCTAGAATAAACTGAAAGGGAAGAGAATTAATGAAGAAAACTGGAAAGAAAGCCTTTTTAGAAAAAGGCACAGAATTAAAAAAAAACCTAACAAGGAAAAGAAATTAAATGGGAAGAGAAAGCGGAATTTACTTAACTGAGATTTTTGAAAGGGGAAGAATTAGATAGCTAGATAAAAGCATGAAAGAACAAAGAATAAATTAAGCAAAACTCTAAAACTTGAAGAAGGGGAGACAAGTGGCAGTTGGGCAGAGGTGTGTGTGTGCGTGAACCTAAAGCAAAGAGAAGAGAACCTGCCTTAAAGTAAAGCAAAAATAACTGAATAGAGAAAGCACAGTCTTTACAGAGGAAGAGAAACAATGAAAGTCCTATTTTTTTTTTAAAAAAGCAGTAGTAGACACAAACCTAGGTCTCATAACTTTAAATGTGAATGGATTAAACAATCCAATAAAATGAAAAGGAGCAACATATTCGATAAGAAAACAAAAA